TCTGTCCCCTCCGCTTCCTTTCCTCTTTTTTTTTCCCCGTGCGGTTTGTTCTTTCCTTATACCTTCCCCCCGCGTGTCCTGGCCCCCTCCTCTCGTTCTTTTCCCGTTCCTCTTCTCTCTTGCTATCGCCTTAATTGCTTTCTGGCTGTCGGAATATATGAACCCATCTAACATTCCTGGAGCTTGGATGATCTAGTTGTTATAAGAGAGATGGTAGTATACTGTGATTTTAGGATTTTCTGTGTAAATCCCCATATCCGTTATGGCTGCCAGTTTAAAGATATCTGTGTGAATTATATTCTGCTTGTGCTAATCTTTAAAGAAAATACTTTTACTTTACACCAATATATAATTTTCAATACATTATTAGTCATCAAAATGTGGCAGCTCTGGCTACCTTTAAGTTTTACAAAATTTGTCTCTATTTTCCTTAAAAATCTCTACACATTTTATTAACATGTGGGAACAAAACTCTCTCTAATAGAAATGAGTATCACTTGCGGCGCATTTTTTCATTATAAATGAGAATTTTCTTTATTGAATTTTCTTTGTATACGTTAGAATTTTCATTTTTGTTTTGTTTAAGGAAAAAAACTAAATGGGGATTTTTAATAAAAGAAATTTTCAAAATTATTATGAATTCAGTCAATATTTAGAGCTACAATTAAACGTTTGTTTATTTTAACATAAAAATATAACGAGAAGAGAAATATAAAAAAATAAGAAAATTTTTAAAAAATACAATAAATTTTATAGAATTTCTTTTTAAAAACTTCGAAAAAAGCAATAAATAAAATTAGAACGGTTCTATTTGTTGTGGTATTTATTTGAAAACAATAAAAACATTTTTTGAGAAAAAAAATACTAAACAATAACAAAAAACAACGCATTTTATACAAAAAAGAAAATATAAATATCACGACGTTTTTGTTTGCGCTAAAAAACCACAAATTAATGTTTTAAATTACTTATTTAATAATAAAAAAATAGTTGAAAAATAATAAATCTATTTATTATTTATGTATTTATTTATCTGCTGCTGCATTTGTTGTTATATAAATCAATAACAATTTGGTTTAAATTTAAATCTCAGATAGTAACTGACATTTTAATGATTTGTTGTTTTATATAATTTTCAATTCAATTTTGTCTGAATTGCTGCTATGATTTGTGTCGTGTTTTTTTGGTTTTTAACTTTGTCTGTTAAAACATAATTTTATTTAACAGATCATTTACACACATAGATTCTATTTGAAACCATATTTGGTTTCCGAAATAAAATAAGTTAACATGTTTCTCAAAAAAGCCATATTTGTTAGATTTATTGCAAATCTAATAAGTGTTTTTGTAGGATTTTGTAAATTAGAATTGTCGCTTGTGGCTTCATTTTGTTATATACTCCGAAATGCTAATGCGGTTGGAAAGGTGTATTTAGTTTGTTACGGTGTATGGTGCAAATAATTTTCATAAAAATTATAGAAGAATTTGAACCATATTATAAAAAGAAAATTAAATTAAAAAAAAAATAAATTTATCTGTGGAGTGTGTCAGAAATAAACTTTTCTAGCCAAAACATATCCATGGTCCAACAAATTATATTTTTTTAACACGTTAGCTTTAAAACCTATGTCAGATATCTTTTTTAAATCGATATTTTTTAACCGTTATTTCGTTCTAAATGGACACCGCAAAAAGAATATGTGAAATAGTAATCAAAATCTCAAAAGATCTGAAGGTTTATTTTCAACACTATTTCAAAAGCCATCAACTACAGACTAGACTATATAAAGGAAGACTGAAGAACCTGAATCGGAAAGCAGAAAAAGTCCCTGTAGAAAATTAATAAAGGCTCGACTATAGACTAAGACTATAGACTAAGACTATAGACTAGACCTATAGACTAGACTAAGAACTAGACTATTAGACTAGACTATAGGACTAGACTATGACTAGACCTATAGACTTAGAACTATAGAACTAGAACTATAGACTAGACTATAGACTAGACTATAGAACTAGACTATAGACTAGACTATAGACTAGACTATAGAACTAGACCTATAGACTAGACTATAGACTAGACTATAGACTAGACTATAGACTAGAATATAGACTAGACTATTAGACTAGACTATGACGACTATGACTAGACTCATAGACTAGACTATAGACTAGACTATAGACTAGACTATAGACTAGACTATAGACTAGACTATAGACGAGACTATAGACTAGACTATAGACTAGACTATAGACTAGACTATAGACCTAGACTATAGACTAGAACTATAGAACTAGACTATTAGACTAGACTATAGACTAGACTATAGACTAGACTATAGACTAGACTATAGACTAGACTATAGACTAGACTATAGACTAGACGATAGACTAGACTATAGACTAGACTATAGACTAGACTATAGACTAGACTATAGACTAGACTATAGACTAGACTATAGACTAGACTATAGACTAGACTATAGACTAGACTATAGACTAGACTATAGACTAGACTATAGACTAGACTACTAGACTAGACTAAGACTAGACTATAGACTAGACTATAGACTAGACTATAGACTAGGACTATAGACTAGACTATAGACTAGACTATAGACTAGACTATAGACTAGACTATAGACTAGACTATAGACTAGACTATAGACTAGACTATAGCTAGACTAGACTAGACTATAGACTAGACTATAGACTAGACTATAGACTAGACTATAGACTAGACTATAGACTAGACTATAGACTAGACTATAGACTAGACTATAGACTAGACTATAGACTAGACTATAGACTAGACTATAGACTAGACTAGACTAGAATATAGACTAGACTATAGACCTAGACTATAGACGAGACTATAGACTAGACTATAGACCTAGACTATAGACTAGACAATAGACTATACTTGCTAGACTATAGACTAGACTATAGACTAGACTATAGACTAAGACTATAGACTAGACTATAGACTAGAACTATAGACTAGACTATAGACTAGACTATAGACTAGACTATAGACTAGACTATAGACTAGACTATAGACGAGACTAATAGACTAAGACTATAGACTAGGACTAGAGACTAGACTATAGACTAGACTATAGACTAGACTATAGGACTAGACTATGGACTATAGATAGACTAGACTAGACCTAGACTATAGACTGAACGAGACAAAGAGACCTAGACTAGACTATAGACTAAGACTATAGACTAGACTAGACTATAGACTAGACTATAAACTAGACTATAGACTATAGTAATAGATTATATTATAGACTAGATTATAGACTAGACTATAGACTCAGCCCTGTTATAAACTGCTCTGGAAAGATAAGAATTTGACAGTGGATTAGTCCCGTAACTGGATCTTTAAGTTTCAGACGTTATATCTAGACAGTAGTGTCGCATAAGTGCCAGTAAAATCTGTTTCAATGAATCCACTTTATTTGTATAAAAATTTACTTACATTTGGCAAAAACAACTAATTTAAAAACTTTATAAAGAATTTATTATTAATATTATTAGTTACCCGTAGCGCACTGTCTGAATCGTATAATTTTTGTATTTATTTTAAGTTGTACCAAATTTGAAATGATGTAATTTTATTTTGGATAATATTTTGTTACTCGTTTAATTTGTTGTTTAGTTTTCTGCTCATTTAGTATTATAAAGTTGTTTAGTTAAAACGTGTGCGTTATTACTTAATAACAATTGTGTTTGAGATAAAAAAAAATTATTTAAAAATCTATTAAAAAGAAAATAAATTGTAAAAATTCTTATTAAATTTATACATTCTTTGACACAAATTGTTATTATAAATTTTTATTTTGGTGACGAAATAAATTTATTTTTATAACAACAAGAACACACCGGTAGAATTTTTTTTTGTCAAATACAGATGAAAACAAAAAAAAAAAAAAAAAAAAAAAAAAAAACAAATTATTTTAAAAGTTTGTCATACATTTTCAGATTCTTTGCAAAAAAACACACAAAATGACAAATCTAGCGAATTAAACAATTGTATAATAAATATTTTTTTCTAGGTATTTAGGTTTTAAAAGAAAATAGTTTTTTGTTAAAACAAAGACATTTTTTAAATATTAAAAAAGTTATAGTTTTTTTTTATTTTTTGGCTTGATTAAAGAAAGGGCTTATTGTTCGGTTTATTTTAGGATTTAACATCTGCCTTGAAAAAATATTTCAAACATTTTAAATAAAATTTAAAAAATTGTGTGAAAATATTTTTTTCATGAGTTTTAGTTGTAAACAATTTCGTGTTGGTTGTTGTGATAAATTACTTTTTTTGGTGCAAAGTTGTTTGAACTGATTTTGTTTAAGGTTTTCTAGACTATATTTAACTGGCTACTTTAGTTCTAGAGGTCAAAATTTGCAATAAAATTTGGACATTAACATTTATAATGACAATACAATATTATATACGAAAATTCGAAATTAGTTTCAAAAATTCGAACATTTAAAGTTGTGTTCGAAATTTCGTTTGTGTTCTTTAACTCTTTTTTTTAGAAGAGTCCAATAACTTTCCTCAGGCCGATGTTCTGGATAGTTTTGTGAAATTGCCTCTCGTGGTACAAAATTGTCATTATTGTTTGAATACCACTTCAGAGACTTTTTTCAATAATGGCATGTTGCCAGATGGGTCCAGAAATATGAAGACGCTCAGAAATATGAAGACGCTCAGAAATATAACAGACCCCACTTCGTAATAGATATTTCTGTGTATATCGAACCAAATGTCATAAATGATTGGCTTCTTTTGCCACAATTGCAAACGGCTTGCCACACAAGAATTTTGGGGGAATTTTGTTTGATTTACTTCCAAGTCTTTACCGAATTGCAATCTGGACCTTTCCGAACTTTATAGGACTTCAATCCAGTATTAGCTTTGGTTAAGTTGCCTCTCTGATAGAAGTGTTCAGTGCTGTGCGAAAGAGTTGTCTGACTTGTTTTGTCTTAACAATATCAGTTAGACCCTTTTTCTTACCGATCCGCGGTTTCTTTCAATTCCCAAATTTTCCTTATACTCTTAAATGGCTTTTGATATAGTGTGACATTAAACCTTCAGATCTTTTGTCATTTTTATGAAAGTCTATGTCGGATTTTTTGAAAAGTTTCACACACTTTTTTCTCGAAGTCCCTTTTGTCCGAAATAACAAATGATTCAGAAAAAATAATATCTGTCAGAGGTTTTAGAGCTAGCGTGTTTATTGAAAAACAATTATATGTTGGATCAGGAATAAGATTTGGCTCGAAAAGTTTTTACTGGCTCATCCCTTAGTACACACTTTAATTAATAGATTACTCTATAGCCTATAGGCTAGTACAATGACTAATCCATAGACCAGATCAAAGACTATATTATAGACTCCTTCATAGAATAATCAAAAGACTTGCCAATAGGTTAGTCCAGAGAAAAGTCAATCGACTAGTCAATAGACTCCTTTATAGAGTATTCAATAAATTAGTGAGTAAACTTGCCAATAGACTAGTCCATAGGACTTGTTTATAGCCTAGATAACAGACTAGTCCATATATAGATCAATAGACTTAATCAATCGATAAGTCCATAGAGTATTTAATAACATAGTCAACTTGTCAATAGACTAGTCCATGGAGTAGTCAACCGACTAGTCAAGAATTGTCGTTAGCCTATTTAATACACTAGTCCATAGATAAGTTTACGACGTATGTAGTCAGTAACATATGCCGTAAACTTGCCAATAAACTAGTCCATAGGGTAGTCAATTGATTAGTCAATAGACCTTTTGATATCCTATTTAATAGACTAGTCCATAGATTAGTCAATAGACAATTCCATAGGAGAGTCAATGTACTAGCTTAATGACTAAACTTGTCGTTAGCCTATTTAATAGACTAGTCCATAGATTAGTTTACGGAATATGTAGTTAGTAACATATTCCGTAAACTTGCAAATAACTAGTCCATAGAGTAGTCAACCGATTAGTCAATAGACTTGCAAATAACTAGTCCACAGATTAGTTAATAGACTATTTCATAGGTGAGTCAATATACTAGATTAATAATTTTGCAGTCTATTCGATCGTAAACTTGTCTACTATATAGATCCGATAAAAAAGTTATTTAGCACTTCTAATTCATAAAAAAATTAGAATCAACACTTATTTTGAAACCCTTTTATTTGGAATAAAAAAATCTTTTAAATATTCATATGCATAATAGGACCATTCCATAGAAAGAGTGTTGGCCCCCCAAAACCTTGACAGAAACAGCTTCGAAGGTTATAATTTCGAACCAAAATCCGTAATCTTAACATCAAAATACAATGACTATAGGCTTTAAACATGTGTTCTGGAACTAAGAATTTATAATTTAATTATAAATTCATTAAAAACCTAAATCCAAAATGTCCCCCAAACGCACACACACACATTTGAAAAGTAAACAATTAATTAACGTTAACAATCACCCTTTATGACCTTTTCCCTATAAAAACCGACAACATAAACCCCAAATATTTATACCAAAAAAAAAAAAAAAATAATGCATTTAAAAAACATAATAATAAATTTCACTGACGCGCGATTTCCTCAATTTATGGTTTATTTTCAAAGATGTGCAGCAAAACAAAAAGAAGATGCTGTTCATTTCGTTATTTTTCTACGTTTCTTCAGATTTTTATCTTACAAAATGCGTGGGTGACTCAGCAAACACGAGAAAAATTTAAAATAAAATTTTCAAAAAAAAAAAAAAAAAAACTCATTCACTTTTTTCTACTTTTTAAAGAAAATATGATAATTCATTTAAGACAATTATAAACGTGAACGAACATGTTTTGGTTTTAAAACAACCAAACAATTATTATTATTATTATTTTTTTAAATATGGAAAATTTGCTCAATTTCAGAGCATATTACTCTCTGATCCCTGTTGCAGCTGTTTTTTCAGAATTTGACGTCAGTTTTTCTTGTGTTTTTTTCGGTGATCTACTTAATTTTGGTTAATTTTTTTGTATTGATCATTTAAACTGTTTTAAATGATTTTTTGTTTTTAAATTAATTGTCTGAGAACGCTTGTACCTTTGAAATTCACCAAAACATTTTTTGTTAAAAAAAAATTATGTTTACTTGAAAATTTACGTCTGATGTTAATATTTATTATCCAAATAATTATTTTAAAACGTGGCGTTTTAATTTTTAGCTTTCTTTGTTTTTTTGTGTTAAATAATAGATTTTTTGAACTTTTTTGTGTTTTGATTTTCTTTAATATTCATTATTAAAACAGTGGCGGCGAGATAAATAAGTACATTCAAAAATATGTTTTCCTAGTTTAGAAAATAACTCATTAATTTTACTTAAAAAGATTTAGCAGAGATATAAATTTAATTAAACGTTCCAGAATGAATTGTATTGGTTCCAAAACTAGTTCTACAACTGAATTTTTATATTCTAAGTACAAAAGTGTTACACAGTGGGCACTTCTTATATGAAACTAGTTCTTTAATAATTATTATTTCATCAAAACTTTTAACTTTTAACAGTACCAGTTCTTTGGAATTTTTAGTTAGTTCGTTCGTCAGTTAGTTAGTTAGTTGTTAGTTAGTTAGTTAGTTAGTTAGTTAGTTTAGTTAGTTAGTTAGTTAGTTAGTTAGTTAGTAGTTAGTTAGTTAGTTATTAGTTAGTTATTAGGTTAGTTGCTTAGTTACGTTACGTTAGTTCAGTTACGTTATTTATGTTTAGTTAGTTAGTTCGTTAGTTAGTTAGGTTAGTTAGTTTAATTAGTTAGTTGTTCGTTAGTTATTAGTTAGTTAGTGTCGTTCGTTCGTTCGTATAGTCTACGTTCGTTCGTTCGTTCGTGTTCGTTAGTTACGTTCGTTAGTTAGTTCGTTCGTTAGTGTAGTTCGTTCGGTCGTTAGTTCGTTCTTTCGTTCGTTCGTTGCGGTCGTATCGTTCGTTAGGTCGTTCGTTTTCGTTGTTTCGTTGTTCTTCTTCGTTCGTTCGTTCGTTCGTTCGTTCGTTCGTTCTGTTATTCGTTCGTTCGTTGTTCGTGTTCGTTCTTTCGTTCGTTCGTTCACGTTGTCTATCGTTCGTCGTTAGTCGTTACGTTCGTTTCGTTCTTCCCCATTCTTTCGTTCGTTCGTTTCCGTTCGTTCTTTGTTCTTAACTTCGTTCCTCTCCGTCTAGTTCCTCACAATCCGCCGTTCCAGTGCCTCCTACCATTCTTTCCTCTCCTTTCTATTTGTTTTGCATCCTGACCTCGTTCTTCTTTAGTCCCCGTACGGTCTCATTGCTGTCTTCTTCTGACGATTTTCAAGAACGAGTTCTATAGTTCCATAATGATATTCCAGAATTGGAAGTGGTTCTGTTTGCAATCGCTCTAGAAGAAGGTTTTTATAGAAAAAATTCCAAAATTTTTCCGAGAGAATTACTTTTTAAATATTTCATATTTTCATTAAACACAATTTTGAATATATTCTCAATATCCTTTTTATGTTCGTCACATATTGTTAAAATGTATTGCGCTTAATTGCTGTAAATAATGAGGTGGCAAATAAATGAAATTATTTTAGTTTTCTTATTAATTTATAAATGTTTTCCTTATTATCTCAAGCAATTAAAATAAAAATTTATAAATTTTATTTAGTTCGTATAAAATGCGTTGTTTTTTGTTAATAAAATTAATTCAAAACAAAAACAACTAAATAAACTACAATATTTCTCTTTCTAATTAATTAGAATCTGTTAAAAAAAAGATCTACATACATATAAATATATACGCAAGAGCGTTGTACAATGTCTTTTCGTTCACGCTCACGTCCCACCCAGCCTTTGGCTTCACGTAGACGTTCTCTATCGAGTTCGCGTGCCCAAAGTTCCGGGGCTTATAATTACAATGGCACTTCCTACAATACGGGTTCAACAAATGGTTATGGCACGAGCAGTTCAAGACCCTTAAGTACTGGCTATTATCCAAATAATACGGGTTCTTCGTCCTCATACTATCAGAGTCCTTATAATAGTGTTTATTCGTCAAGAGATAATCTTTATGGTGCTGGATCTTCGTCACGCAATAGCTCGGGCAATAGTTATTATAGTAATGGTAATAAATCAGCTTCATCCTTATCATCAACATCATCGAATTATCGTCATCATGAATATATGGCTGCTTGCTCTAAGGAGAGTAATAATACTACTACTACTAGTAATGCTGCCTCTGCTGCTGCTACTACTTCTACTACTACTACCAATAAATATCAAACTTCATCTAATCAACAACAAATTCATCATCATTCGATAACCATTTCCTTAACGCCCCCTACCAACAACAACAACCACAGCAGCAACAATTATTCAAGTTCCTATAAAAACTCCAGCAATAATTATAATACCAGTCCTTTAAAATCCTTTAAATCCTATACGCGTTCACCACATGCTTCCTCATCCTTAGCCAATTCATCGTCGAAATCTTCATCACCATTATCTACATCTTCATCATCAACTTTTTATGCTTCTAAAGCTTCGGGCATTCATTCTACTACTAGCGCCACCTCAAACACCTCCGGTTATGAAAGCAATAGCAAATATCAAACATCATCCAACAATACCTTTTCCTCCTCTACTTTAGCCTCGAACGGTTATGATGCCCCCTCACGTTACAACTCCAATCCCTATAGCAGTGATCGTTACATCAGTCCCTATACATCGTCATATGATAAAGGTATAACCACGGCCTCGCTTAGTTTCAATATGGGTCCTTCTTCGACCGCTTCAAAGGGTTCAAATTCTTATTTGAACAAATCTTCAGCCTCGGCGAATGCCTCTTCCAGATCTCTAAATAAAACTAAATCATTATCTAACTCGAATAGCAGTTTAAATGCCTATCCCTCAACGTCTAGCAGTAATGGTGCTAGTTCAGCAAATGCTGCTGCTATGGCCGCCATTGTATCACGTAGCAGTTCGTTGAGAGAACAGGAGCGTAAATCACGAACACGCTCACGTTCTCGTACGGCAGCTCAGCGTTCACTTAGTGCTTCGTCGGAGAAAAGTGAAGGTTATGAAGTACGTTTGCGGAGTTAATTAAAATGGCTTCTATTGGAATTTTTTTAAGGTTAAAGTGAATCCTTTCGTCGTGGTTTATCGGTCGAAAATGTAGTAAAATTAAAATTGTGCAGGTTTCCGAAATATATATCACTCAAGTTTAAAAACCGTTTTTCGTCTAGTTAAATCCTTAAAAAAAAGTGAACTTTAGTCCGATTCTTATGATCGATTAAAATCTGTATTTGAATTCATCCAAAATAAGGTGAAACTTTCAATAAAGATCCGAAATAATCTGAAAATCCGAAATAATCTGCTTAAGAGTGGTGGAGATTGAATTGTGTCAATCTCACCATCTTTAGCAACATTTTTGACGTTAACAACCTCCTGAGATAGTCGCAGAAACTCATTATAGTTTACTCATTTTATCTCAAGTTACTTTCCGTACTTTAACTTCTTCCACCTTCGGAGGGGAATCGACTTTAGAGTCGCTGCTGTAGTCGCTGAACAAGATCGTACCCAAACCATAGTATATCATTCTCTTCGCCTCTCTTAGTGGCTCCAAATATTCCTTATTAAGGAAAACGTTCACATGTCTTGAAGGTCCACCAGTCTCTGAAACTCTCACCACTTTCCAATCGTGAGTTGAAAGCATCTTCTTCCTAAAGGGAATATCGTACCAAAACCATACTAAACTTTCCCTTCGAACGATCCCATGTCTTGAAAAAGATCTGCAGTCCTTTAGAGTCGCTGCTGTAATCGCTGAACAAAATCGTACCCAAACCATAGTAGATCATTCTCTTCGCCTCTCTAAGTTGCTCTAAATATTCCTTATTAAGGAAAACGATCACATGTCTTGAAGGTCCATCAGTCTCTGAAACTCTCACTACTTTCCAATCGTGAGTTGAAAGCATCTTCTTCCACCAGGGAATATCGTACCAAAACCATACTAAACTTTCCCTTCGAACGATCCCATGTCTTGAAGGTTCATCAGTCTCAGAAACTCTCACCACTTTCCAGTCATCAATTGGATGCATCTTCTTCCACCCAAACCATACTAGACCTTCCCCTTCATCTACTTTGAGACAATGATCACATGTTTTGAAGGTCCATCTGTTTTTGAAACACTCAGCGCATTCGAATCGTCTTGAAAGTTGGAAGCTGAGGGTTACTGTGCTAGAGGATCTTTAAGATCTCTTTGTAAGTGAAGGGCTCAGACGATGTTTTGGCAATTGACCTTCGCCAGCATGGTTTCTCCTCAGGAGACACCACTACAAGCTTCGAACCCGCCTATACCTCGTCCAGTAATACAACTGCAAACATGACCAACAACGATGAGCGTTCGTCTGCGTAAGTCATAAGTTTTCCGTTATCCTGAAACCATCCAGCGTCATCGTATTGAGGGATCTCTTTAAGAACTCCTGTAAGTCGTCAAAGTCCTCTGATTTCGCCGCTTCAGTTTTCACTTTGCTAATGCTCTCTCCTTAGCAAGTTTTTAGTAATTCTAATGTAATTTTCATTGTATAAAAGTTATGGTTTTAGTAATCGGAAAAACCAATGACGTAATACCGACAAAACCAATGACGAAAGGTTCTAATCTTAAAACAAAAACAGAAAGAAATTTGCATTCAATCAAAACTGATAAATTCTAACATTTAAAATACTAATTTCTATATTTCCCCCAAAAAAATTCTAACTTTTTTAGAGCGGTAGCGAAACACGTCCCAGCCGTTCCCGAGTTGGCAGCACAGCTAGCACTGTTTCGGTATCGACATCCACCTCGGCCACAGACGATAAGAAAACACGTGATAAATCGGAAAACAGTGGTGATAATATTGATTATAAGGCTCTATGGGAAGCTGTAAAGTAAGTCGAGCAGCAAAAAGAGCTAGAAAAACTCTAAGGACTTGCTAAGCTCTTTGAAATTTTAAAAGATTTCTAAAAATAAGAAACAGTTTTAATATATTTTTTTCAATAACTCTCGTTTTAGATTGGAAAATGATAAACTTAAACAACAATTAAAGAAAAAAGATGATGAAGTTATACAAACTAGAGCCACCCTCGAAAGATTTGCTAATGCTGTAAGTAGATTTTATAAATATTTTAAATTTTCTAGCCATATATGTTAACCTAAAGTTCTAAAGGTTACTTAAGGTTACAGTATGTAGCTAAAGTATACCACTACACTATGGTTTTAAAAGAAAGAGCAAACTTAATAGTTTGCTGTTAGAAAAAGGGATTTTGAATTACACCTTATATATGTATAAATAAAACAATTTAGGAACGTTTTTTTTATTAAATACTATTGTATAAAGTATCAACAAACAACTCTCACTAAAACTCTCCAAAAAAAAAACTGTATAAATATAAAAAGAAACAATTATTTTGGATTATACCGAAAAAAATACAACAGCGCTTTTCTTTCTCTCCCTGTTAAAAAAAACACTTCAATTCTCTTTCTAAAACCCCCGCCCCAAACCTCTTTATATTTTATATAGTTATAATAAAGGGTTATTGTTAATTTAACAAAAATTTCCCTGTAACCAGGTTTATCGGTAGCAAACAACATCACCACCCTACTGCCTATATTTTTTCTAACCCTACCACTTAATAAAATAACCAACACCGCCCCGCCCTTTTAAAATTTTTCAAATAAAACACTTATAACTTTTTTTTGCACCGTTAATTTGAAAACAATTGTTGAACAAAATTACCAAAAAAAAAACCAACCAAAAATTTTTTTTGCAAATTAATAATTTTTGCAGACCACTAAAAATTCTCTGTCAGAGATTGAAAAGCGCGAAAGGAGAGCTATGGAACGAAAACTTTCCGAATTGGAAGAAGAGCTTAAGGTAAATACCCTTAAACAAAAATTTTGTAAATTTTCCTTATTTTTTTTTCACTCTCTTAACAAATAAAATTATGCTGAATTTTAAGTTTTTTTTTTTTAATTTAAAATAACAAATGCCAGATTTACAAAGAAACTGCCCTTTTTGTTTATTTTTTTTTTGTTGTTGTTTTAAATCTACACCAAGTTTTATTTTTTTTAAATAATTTTTGTTTAGATTATTTGCTTATTTTACTTACACCATTAATATTTAAACACAAATATACTTAATACTATATGGCTTTTCTTTTGCTTGTTTATTATTATTATTATTTTTTTTTAATAATTTGTTTATTTTTTTCAAATTTCTTTTTTTGTTGTCAAAATTAAAAGAAAATACCATTATTATGAAATTTAGCGAACAATTTCTGTTTATTAATTTAAAAACATTACTTGCTGACGTAAATTTTTCTTTCCTTTATATGTTCAATATTTTGTTGTTTATTAATTACAATAATAATTTAACGAGGTGTTTAAAAATAATGGACATTATATAAAGGAAAACAAAGTTACAGCTGGGTTTCAATATATTCTCAAATAAAATAGAAAATTTTAAACAATTTTCTATAAAAATAGAAAATTTTTAAAAATTTTCTATAAAAAGTGAAATTTATGTAAAATTTTCTATAAAAAGAGATATTTTTGAAAACTTTTCTATAAAAGGAGAAATTTTTAAAAAAGTTTCTCTAAAAAGAAATATTTTTAAAAAGTTTTCTATAAAAAGAAAAATTTTTGAAAAGTTTTCTATAAAAAGACAAATTTTTGAAAAAATTTCTATAAAAAGAGAAATTTTTTTTAGAAATTTTCTCTAAAATGGGACATTTTTTAGAAATTTTCTCTAGTAAGAGAAATTTTCTATAAAAAGAGACATTTATGGAAAATTTTCTATAAAAAAGAGAAATGTTTGAAAATTTGTCTATAGAAAGAGAAATTTTTGAAAATTTTTCTATAAAAGGAGACATTTTTAAAAAAGTTTTCTCTAAAAAGAGAAATTTTTAAAAAAGTTTTGTATAAAAAGAGAACTTTTTTTTAGAAATTTTCTCTAAAAAGAGACATTTTTAGAAATGTTCTCTTAAAACAAAAATTTTCTATAGAGAGAGAAATTTTTAAAAAAGTTTTTATAAAAAGAGACTTTTTTTTTAGAAATTTTCTCTAAAATGGGACATTTTTTAGAAATTTTCTCTAAAAAGAGAAATTTTTGATAAATCTATAAAAAAGTGAAATTTTTGAAAAATTTTCTATAAAAAGAGAAATTTTTAAAAAAGTTTCTCTACAAGAGAAATTTTTAAAAAAGTTTTCTATTAAAAGAGATTTTTTTTTAGAAATTTTGCTCTAAAAAGGGACAATTTTTAGAAATTTTCTCTAAAAAGAGAAATTTTTGAAAAATTTTCTATAAAAAGAGAAATTTCTGAAAAATTTTCTATAAAAAAGAGAAATGTTTGAAAATTTGTCTATAAAAAGAGAAATTTTTGGAAAATTTTCTATAAAAAAGTGAAATTTTTGAAAGATTTTCAATAAAAAAGTGAAATTTTTGAAAAATTTTCAATAAAAAAGTGAAATTTTTGAAAAATTTTCAATAAAAAAGTGAAATTTTTGAAAAATTTTCAATAAAAAAGTGAAATTTTTGAAAAATTTTCAATAAAAAAAGTGAAATTTTTGAAAAATTTTCAATAAAAAAGTGAAATTTTTGAAAAATTTTCAATAAAAAAGTGAAATTTTTGAAAAATTTTCTATAAAAAAGTGAAATTTTTGAAAAATTTTCTATAAAAAGTGAAATTTTTGGAAATTTTTGGAAATTTTTCTATAAAAAAGTGAAATTTTTGAAAAATTTTCTATAAAAAAAACATTTTTGAAAAATTTTCTATAAAAAAAAACATTTTTGAAAAAATTTTTATAAATGGAGAAATTTTCGAAAAATTTTCTATAAAAGGAGAAATTTTCCAAAAATTATCTATAAAAAGAGAAATTTTTGAAAAATATTCTATAGAAAGAGAAATTTTTAAAAAATATAATATATAATATAGAAAGTGAAATTTTTAAAAAAGTTTTCTATAAAAAGACGAATTTTGGAAAAATTTTCTATAAAAAGAGACATTTTGAAAAACGTTTTCTATTAAAAGAGAAATTTTTGAAAAATTGTCTATGAAAAGTGAAATGTTTGAAAATTTTTCTATAAAAAGTGGAATTTTTGAACATATTTTTGAAAGGGAAATTTTTAAAAAAGATTTCTATAAAAATATACGTTTTTGAAAAGTTTTCTATATATATATATATATTTTTTTTTTGTTTTTTTGAAAAATATCCTTTCTATAAAAAAACATTTTTTTTTTAAAAAAACATCTTTTAATTGAAAATTATCTACAAATTTATTTTTATAGAAAGCTTATTTTTTAAATTATCTTTTTATGAAAATTGTTTTTTTTTAATAAAATTAGTCGTTTCTACGAAATATTCTTTAAAAAAAAATATTTGAAAATTTTCCAAAAATGTATTTATTTTAGTATAATTTTTTAAAATATTCTCTTTTTATAGAAAATTTTCGAAAAATTCTCTCTGACGTAGAATCGAGGAGCTACTCGATTGTCCGTCTGTATGGCTTTCGGAAACCAATGAGCTTATAACTCTTCTCACAATGAATCTACAACTCACTTCTATAACTTGTGAGAAGTTTACGATAATATTTCAACTGAACTGATTTTTTTTTCGTACATAGTAGTTGTAACATTATATGCAACATGCCACTAGTATGTTCTTACAAAACTGCGACAATAAATTAGGTTTTGTGCATTATTATTATTATTTTCTTTAATTTGTTGTTCTAATTACTTTGCTTTTTTGTATTGTATTAAAAATAAACTTGTAAGCACATTGTTTTTTAAAGCAAATCATTTCAAAATGTTAAAAGCTTTGACGAATTTTATATTGTTTTTATTCACATGGACAAATGAAAAAAAAAGAACAAAATTTTTAAAATTTTTTTTTGTGTTTGTTTTAAAACAATTTATAAACACTATTATTTATTTTGCATAATACACCTAATTAACACAATTACACAAATATAAAAAAAGTCAATGAGTGTCGGTTGAAAAAGAGTAATTCTCGGTGTAAGAAATTTACTTTTTGCAATGTGCTTCTGGAACAGTCATATGCAAAAATATGTTTTGTTTAGTTTTTGCTTGGAAATGGAATTTTTACCGAGAATTTCTTTATTAAACCTTATCCTCACGAAACATTCTACACCCTTTGCCTCTTCATGTGTGTGTGTGATTTTTTTTTTAAATTTTATTATTTCTGATTTATACGTCATCTTCATTAAACATTTTTCATCGTTTCATGTCATGTCATAAATCAAAAAATATATATATTTATATACATCTAATTGTTGTTTCATTTGTTTTTAGTTTATTCCATCTCTCTTTTCATATCAATGTCATGTCATATTCATTATTTTCATGTCATTTCATCAGTCATATTGTAACTTTTGTTTTAAACAAAATAATCTTTATTCATAGATCTCCTTAAAGCCAACTTACCACATACATTTGTTTACTTTTTAAACCAGGCATGGAAACATTTAAATTTTTAAATGGTACAAAGTTTTTTTCGAAAGTGTACTTTTTCAGAATTAAAAGTACTGGATGACTTTTAGGCTTTTTGTTCCGATCATTTCTTGTTTTTGGCTAGACTATAGTCTATTGACTAGTCTGTAGACGAGCCTATTAACTAACTTAGGGATCAGACTAGACTATTGGCCAGTCTGTTATCTAACCTATTGATTGGTCTATTAACCAGTCTATTGACTAGTTTATCAACTAATATATGATTTACTCTATTAACTAGTCTATAAACTAATCAATGAGCCATTTATTGTCTAGATTATTGTCTAGACTAAGGACTGGGCTATTGATAAAGCTGATTTAATAAATTGACTATTCAATATACTTTCTATAGATCATTTGACAGTCTGTCAACTGGTCTATTGACTATTCTATTTATAAAATGGTCTATATTTTGACTTACCTATGGATCAGTCTAATAATAGGTTTATTGACAAGTCTAGAATCTAATGTATGAAGTAGACTATTGACCAGACTATTTTCTGTTCAATAAATGAGACTATTGACTTAGTCTTTGGACTTTATTAGACAGTCTTTCAACTAGTCTATTGGCTATTCTATTTACTAGTCTATTGCGTAACCTATGGGTCGGTCTAATAACTAAACAGTCTATTAACGAGTCTAGAATCTAATGTATGAAGTAGATCAGTCTATTCATTTCTTGTTTTTGGCTAGACTGTAGTCTATTGACTAGTCTGTAGACGAGCCTATTGACATACTTATGGATCTATCTATAAACTAATTGGCCAATCTCTTATCTAATCTATTGATTGATCTATTAAACAGTCTATTGACTAGTTTATCAACAAATATATGATTTAGTCTATTAACTAGTCTATAAAATAATCAATGACCCACTTATTATATAGTCTACGGACTAGTTTATTGACTAGACTAAGGACTAGGATTATTGACAAAGCGGCTATAATCAATTGACTATTTAATAGACATATCTATTGTTCATTTGACAGTCTGTCAAGTGGTCTATTGACTATTCTATTTATGAAATAGTCTACATATTGACCAACCTATGGCTCAGTTTAATAACTAGTCTGTAGACTAGTCTAGAATCTAATGTATGAAGTAGACTATTGACCAGACTATTTTCTGGTCTATAAATGAGCTTATTGACTCTGACTTAGTCTTTGGACTAAATCATTAGGCAGTCTGTTGACTGGTCTATTAACTATTCTACTTATGAAATAGTCTATTGACTAACCTATGGGTCAGTCTAATAACTAAACTGTGGAACAGTCTATTGACAAGTCTAGAATCTAATGTATGAAGTAGACTATTAACCAGTCTATTTTCTAGTCTATAAATGAGCCTATTAACTAGTCTATGACTT